TGCGCGGAAGGCCACTCCGCTCGGCGTCGCTGCGCCGCACCCCTCCCTCCCTCTCCCTCCCGCCCGCCCAGAGGAGGCGGTGGCGGAGGGATCTGCCGCTTGATTTATCATCAAAGTTTTGCCCAGGCTGGGATTTTTAAAGCGGTACTCGCAACTCCCCCCCCACACCCTCCGCCCAGCTTGAGAGGGAGGTTGAGAGCCAGAAAGGATGGAGGAGGCCACCCCAGGTGCGTGGTTCGCGGAAAGCACAATACAACTGCTCAGAAACAGAAAATACTATCCAACGGGAATAAGAAGAAAAACCATTCCACCTGCAGCTAGACCCAGCGCACTGAGAGGGATTCCTCAACTCAGTAGCACAGCATTCCCCGGTCGGGGGCAGGAAGGTATGGAGTTGAGGGAGAGACAGGAAAAGAACTCGGACTGAGACACCAGAGCCCGGATTATAGGTCTGTCGCAGGCTTTGGCTCCCTATGTGATCGTGTCCATGTGTCTACTCGTGTATGAATCTCAAGGTCTTCATCTGAGAAATGGGAAGCAATGACTGCTTTCTCCAGGACATTGGTGAGCATTTGCAAATTTAGGAATGCAAAGCTCCTAACATAATGCCACCGACGTGCCGCCTCCATAGTTATTGTCTCTCCCCTCTCTGGGACTCAGTTTTCCCATCCACATAATAAGAGTGAGACAGCCCAGACGGTGAGGCTCTTTGCAACTTAGAGATGTTGGGCCTTACTCGGTGAAGTGGATCGCCCCCTTCTGGACTGTAAGACTCCCTTCCTGGGACAGAAGCCTAGAGGGAATATGTGTGAGCCACTCCCATTCTGCAGAGCAGGAATCCAAGGAGATCCTCCGATTCTTTCCCTGACCCTTTTACTGGAGCTGTTGGCCAGACCCTCAGTAAAGACAGAGGGTGAACGTGTGGCTCATTTAAAAGATCTGAAGCACCTTAAATCAGAGCGATCATCTTCTTCGAGGTCCCATGGAGGGCACAGAGCAAGGGCTCTGACTGCCGGGAAGGGTCCTCCCTGTTCTTATCACCTGTCCACGTTCAGCTCATGTCCGCCGCGGTGTCAGACCACGAAAAACAGCACCAACCTCCTGTTACCCTGACGCCCGTCTTTTCAGCATCACGGAAGGCACCTCCGCAGACTCTTTGGTGCCGTGGATCAGCACTGTGGACAGATCCTCCGGTTTTCCCATTTCCCAGCCGAAAAACGGACGCCAAACCACAGGCATGCCCAATATTCGGCACTCTGGACAGCACCCAAATTTAAGAGGTTAAAGCCTGAGGGACATTACCTCCCTCTTCTTATCTTTACTATCTCCTCATTCCTGCCTGTCCAATATTATGGTAGACAACACAGTAGACAGAGCCTGTGGTCACCGCAACACTCCAATTTCTTCAAAACTAAGAACACCCTCCGCCCCAATGTCACACGCTTAGACGGTTTCAGCACCGCGGACAGCACACCGGCGCCTAGTTGGTGCTGGATCTTCCTTCAGCACCGCGGACAAGGCTCCGAGTCACTCCAGCTCCTGGACCACACTCACAGGAGAGAGGGGCCTTTTCTGCCCTATTAATGCACTTCTCACTTTCTTCCCACACAAATATGGTATTTAGGTCATCCTGGCATGGCTAGGCGCTTTGGACTCTACAAGAACGTATACTGATTAATTAATTCATTTGAACTATACTCCCAATGAAATGGATGGTGTCATTCCCATTATAAAGGTGACAAAAACGAGAATCTTTGATCTTACCTAGAAGTGCTAAGATTGAAACCAGGATTCTTTCAAACTCAGCATGAAGTCTCTCCAGGATACTGTGGAGACAGATTTAGGGCTCAAGCCCAAGGCTTTCTTCTCATAAACCAGATTGGAGGGAGGGGACACAGAAAAGAGTACAAGGAGAGAGCAACTAGGAGAGGAGTAAACAAGAGTCTCAGCTTGGGGGCTGCAGAGGGAGCAGGTGAGGGCAAACAGCAGCACAGTGCTGCTCAGCCACTGACCCTCTGGCTGACCTTCAAGAATCTTTTTTTCTCATTGTCTGCAACAAGGTGAAGCCTCAACCTCAAAGCTTCCTTCAAGCACAGACCTCTAGGGATTATATGATTTTGGAAAGGCTCATGATGTAATGGCTCTACTGGAAACCCTCTGATGGCCATATTTGTTTGAAAAACCTTGACTTCTCTAGTTTGTATTCAAGATCTCAGCCTCGCCTCTTGTCCATACCCTGTGTTCTAGTTACTGTTCCTTCCTTGAGCATTCCTCGTCTTCATTATGTCCTGACCCTCATCATTGCTTCCCCTATTTCTACTCCCTCTGTGTAGCTGAGCCCCCCACCCACCCCTGTAGGCCAAGGTCCAGCCTGAGTCTCCTACGGGAAAAAAATATCTGCTGCCTTATCCTGGTTGTCAAGCCTTTGTTTCCTCATTGTGTGCCCAGCAACATGCCAAGAATTTTAATACTCCCACCCTTTCCTCAGAACAATTAGGCCACAGAGTGTAGGATCATGTGGGTATAAGTGTGAACTCTAGAGCCATATGTTCTGAGTTTCAAATGCTGCCACTTGTTAGATGTGTTATTTTAGACAAGTTGTTAGCCTTTCTGTGTCTCAATTTCCTCAGCTATAAAGTAAGGATGATGATACACCCTTCCCAAGATTATTGTGGTAATTCAATGAGTTGCTACATGGAAAGCATGCAGAACAGTGCTTGGTGCACAGGAAATAATATGATACATGTTGACTCTTACTGTTGTTGTTATCTAAGGCAAAGAAAGAGGTTCATAAAGTTAAGTGTTTTGCCCAAAGAAGGCTACTAATGGGAAAGTGATATTCTAGGGAATCCATCCTCTCAGAAATAGTCCCTACAGGTCTCTAACTCAATCTACCCTCTTTACAACTTAGGAAAATAAGAATTAGAGAAGGAGCATGGCTTCCTTAGGGCCACCGAGCCAGTTGCCAAGCCTAGATCTATGTCCTCTGCCTCCCATCTCAGGGATTTCCTACTCTAACACACTGTCTCATTTGTATTTCCTGCAGTTCTTACCTAAACTTCACTTTACAATTTACAAAACACATTCACATCTGTGATTTCATAATATTCACACAACAATCCTTGAGGCCAATATCATCACTTTCCTTCTTTTACAGATGAAGAAATTGAAGCTCAGAGAGGGGAAGTAACCTACACAAGGTTGTACAGTAAGCTGGGGCAGAGCTGGGTGTGAAAGGACAGATACCCAAGTGATACTCCATGCCAAGTAATTCTGTATTGAGTCTGCTTCATCCTTCCAAACACAAACTGCAGACACTGTGAAACCCAAAGTGTAAGGGAAGCAGAAAGTAACCAAAGACTATCCCAGAAATAATCTTTGGGAACTCACTTGGGTGGGTGATTCTAATCACTCACTTCACTCTGGGAATGCTCCAGGAAAGAGTAAGCCTCCCATCCCTAGAGGTAACTAAACAAGCATCTAGCACTGGTGTGGATGCCATGAAGCAAATATCACTGCTATTTCCCTTACACAAATGAGGCTCAGGAGGTGAACAATCATGTCAAGTATTTCGGCTAGGAAAGATGAGAATTTTACAGTTCCCCCAACTAGGAGATCTTGCATGCCCCTCACCTCTGAGCTGAGCTCCCTGGAGAGTCCGCACCCTCCCCTTGACTCTGGGAGGCCACCCCCCGCTTCCTTGAAAGGTGTCACTTGAGCACGTGGCTCTGTCAGTGGTAACAGCCGTAAGATTTGTCCTTTTAATCCAGAATCAATAAGAAATTTCATTTAAAAATAAATTAAACCAGGCATTGGAAATCATTCACCGTGTGGGCCAGGGCCCTATAGAGCACCGTCTAAATGGCTTCCTCTTGCTCATCTATCAATGCCAAGAGGGGGGAAATACCTAAGCTGCCTGATTCATGGAGAAACTACTTAAATGGATCAGCCCCTAACAATGAGCAATGTAAGCCCAGAGTCGCACCTTTTAACACACCAATAACATGTGGAGCGAGGCTCCATGAGAGCTTATCAGAGACCCCACGGTCACTGGCTTCGAGCGAGCCCATTTATAAGGGGGAACAATGGCTTTAGTATGTAGCCGCCTAATTTTCAGAATGCATTACTGAGCTCTGAGGAGCAATGGAATTCTATTAAAGTCTTATCTACCACAGAAGGGTATGAAACCGGCAGGGAAATCCAGGCTTGACGAAGCCATGCCCGGAACACCAGGGCTGACCCTAGGAGGTGGGTGAACCAGCCCGGAGTGAAGGAGGGGGCAGGCGGGGCCCCGGATGTGTGAAAATATGTGCATTAATAGAGCTCCAGTTTCCAGCGATTACGTTTACATCAGCGAATAAAACTTGGCAATAAAACATCAGAGCTGCGTCTCAGACAGCGTTTCCTTTTACAGCCCGGTGTATTTCACTCATTATAACAGGAGGCAGGGAGCTCGAGGTGTCTTCATCTCTCCCCCTTTAATTAAATTTTCTAAATTACTGCCCAAGATTTGGATAAAGCAAAAGACTTACAGCTCCACTAATCGCCATCAAGGCTCCCAGCCCATTGCTGTGGTGGCCCTGACTGTTCCGCATTCCAACATTATTAAAGTGAAATACTGTGGGCATTGCCTTCCTGGGCTCTGCTTTGTGAAAGGAGATACAGCTTCAGGAGAGGAATTGGCCCAGGGATGGGTTCCAGGACTGGTTTGCCATCCTCTCCTCATGACAGTTGGGGCAAATCGTTTTCCCTCTCTGAGGCCCACAGCTCCTCTTCTCCTCAAACAGCCATTTTAAATCTCTAGAATTGATCTGGGTCAGGAGCAGCCCTGAGTTGCATACTGGGGTGACTTAGGCAGCTTTATAAACACCACTCATGTCCAGGCCATGCCTTACAGATTTGGACATTATTGGTGTGGGGTGAGGTCTGGGTATTATGGTTTTTAAAATTTCCCAGACATTGCCAGTGTCCAGCCAGGGTTGAGCACAGGGTTGGCCCAGAGTTTTGAGATGACCATGGGCGCTAGGATCTCTGCGATGTCCATGGGTCTTAAAATCTCTGGGGGTTCTGATTGTTCCTGTAGAGGCCCAGGTCTTACCCTTAGGGGTTCTCTTTAGTCTAATTGTTAGGATCTTGAAATCTGTAGAACCCTGCCAATTCACCAAGCATCCTGAGTGTGTCTCATGCAAAGATCCAGTGGCCATAGTGAGGATTCCAACAGGGGTTGGAGGACAGGAATCCTCTTCCATCCCTTGAATTGGACAGGTCAGCCTCTTTGGTTAAGAGAGTCCAGTTATCCTCTGAAGGACCGTGTGCAGGTCTGGGACACTGTCTTCTCTGGTGACTGGTTTTCTCAGCTGTTCCTCTCAAAGCTGAGCCAACTCGTCAGATAGATTGTTCTAAGCCTTCTGCCCACACGGCCCACCATAGTGCATACCCCATCCTCCCACCTCGATGGATTCTCAGCTTCATCTGCATTGCCTCCACTTACCTCTAGCTCTTAGGCCGCCTACGAAGTCCCTGTCCAAGTCAAGGTGCTAACAAGGTAGGTTTCTGAGGGAGGCCTCTTCTCTTCGATGTGGCACTCTCTTTGTGGTGTCTCTTCTTATAAGGACACTAACCTTATCAAGTCAGGGCCCCACCCTTATGACCTTTTTGAACCTTAATTACTTCCCGACTCCAAAGGCAGTCACATTGAGAGTCAAGAATTCAACATATGAATTTAAGATACAAAGCATTCCATCTACAGCACCGCTGTAGATATTGACCCTTAGATTTGAACCACTTGAGTTCCACCAATGGCCAGAAGGGACATGTGGCATGTGTCTGAGTTGTCCCAGCAAGGATCCTAATAAAATCTCCACCAAAGGCAATTAATTACATCAGGCAGGGGGTCCTGGAGCCCTTCACCCTACAACCAGGTGCTTGTTAAACAGGGCAGGACAGCACGTTCTCTGCCAATTATGTACAAGGCCCTGCTTGTGGGAGTATTTTCAAAATCCTGAACTGATTTAAATAACGTGTCTAGTCTAGTCCACAGCTGTAATAGCCAGACTAACACTGGCCTTTAGGAACAAAATGTGAGTTGTGTGTATAATTTTCAATTTTCTAGTAATCACACTAAAAAATAAAAAGAAAGGTAAAATTAATTTTAATAATATATTTTTGTAACCCAATGTATCAACAATATTATCATTCCAACACATAATCATATAAGTTGTTGTTTTTAAGACTTCATT